TACCCCTGATTTTTAAACCAATTATTGATGATTAAATTTGCTACTATTTTTAAAATTGACTTGTTTGATTTCTTGTTAATTTCTTGTTAGTATCTTGTTTGATATCTTGTTTTATTCTTTTACAAAAAATCAACCTCTGAGATACTGTTACACAACCAAATTTTATACGGTATTTATTTTATCCGTTGCCAGCAAAATCAACCTCTGAGATATTGTTATACAGCAAAATATTATATGGCATTTATTTTATCCGTTGTCAGCAAAATCAACCTCTGAGATATTATTACATAACAAAATTTTATATGGCATTTATTTTATCCATTGCCAGCAAAATCAACCTCTGAGATATTGTTACATGATCAAAGTTCTCTTTATTAAAATTTATCTTTATTACACGCGTGATTAAAATATTAATTTTAATTTTTAAGAAAGTATATTTAAAAATTTTTTATTTTTATTTTTTTTTTATAGCAAAAATAATTTCTGTCTAAATAATGCTTGTTTATGATGATTCCTCTGATATTTTTTAATATCTGATCACGTGATAACTAATAATTTTATCTTTGAGATCCCTGGGGAAAGGGTATTTTGAATCGGTTAAAAATTACCAATGCTGTGCTAAACAATTCAACAGGTATGATGAAACATGATAAATGAACCGAATTTTTATAAAAATAAAAAAAAAAGAAAAAAAATGTTTCACACAAACCTTATAAAGTCCTTCAACTAGTAGGGATGTTTCAGTCGCACCCCATTTTTGATGAGCTTTACGCCTGTCCAGTTTTCTTATTCTGATTTTCTGGCTCTCTCTTTTCTGTTTTACTTACAGCAAGATCTCGTATGGCATCCTACGTTTATCTAACGTCTTTACATCTCCAGTCACAGTTTTTCCAAATAAGCATTTGATGACAATAATATCTGGTTATTCCAAGAGATTCCAATGCAGCACTTTTCATATTATAAAAAGAATCAACTTTTTGTTTACATTAATTATTTAATTTAATGGTTTTTTTTTTAAAAAAAAAAAGAAAATATTAATAAAAAAAATTTTTTTTAATTACATTATAAAATACGAATAAAAAATAGTTACGTTTGAAATCTCATCTGGAAAAATTACTTCAGATAAGATTACTTCTTCATATTCAATTAATTTCGTATTTTTTATCTGTAAATGATCAAATTTCCCTAACACTTGTTCAATTTTTGTTTTAGTTTCTTTCTATTTATCCTTTAAACGTTGGAATGAGAATTCATTGTGTCTTGTAATTCTCTGAGCCTATTGCTGTTGGAAAAGATTTTTAAAAGCTTCTCGTTTACCCAAAAATATTTCATTTGAAAAGCATTTCTCCAATTTTCTAATTTTTCGTTATGACTTTCTACGTCAATTAATTTCTCATTTAATTTTTCCATTTCTAAATTACTTTGTATCAAGAATTTTTAAGATGATGTTTCCAAATTCAGTTCCCAAAATTTTATCTGAGCTCACCCAACAACACATATAAAAAATTTGTGATGGATCCCTTCCAATCTGTAATAGTTTCTGTGATTAAAATGTGTTCACATGTGATGTGAACGTTTCTGGCATTAATTCATCTTTCATTATATTTAATATTTGTTCTGTATTTATCATGTATTCCATGACTATTTGATAATCAAATTCGACCTGGTTTAATCTATTTTTTATATCTACAAGTTCTTATTGCGATTTTTCAAATCCTTTCGATCCTTTTGATGAATTAAGTGGTGATTTGCTTCTTGTGGATAATGTTTCTTGAGTTTTACAGTTTCATTATATTTTGATAAAATAGCTTGTAACTCATCATCATGGATAAGACAAAGCTTGATGGGCAGTAAGACGACTGTCAGGATCAACATTTAATAGTTTATTGATAAAATCTTTAGCTATAGATATAAAGAGAAAGAAATGTTTAATATATATATATACATTAATGAATTCACAAATTATTAAGAGTATAATTTTTACCAGTTTCACTGATCCTTTCCAGTACGGATGTTCAAATTTATAATCAACTTGAACAATAGCTTTCACTTCTGCAACGTTACTCTCTCTATCTCATGTGCTGTCTCATGGAGAGCTTCTAATTTATTACATCGAGCCGAAATCTCTCTAAAACGGGCTGAAATATTTCCTTAAACATTTGGTTCAAGATTGATCTTGTTTGAAAAAACTCCTCGCATAAATTCAACCTTATCCTTTGCATTTTCAACGTAGGTTTTATCAACCAGAAGTTCACTAACATTTATTCATGTTTTGATGAAATCAGTTGCAGATTTGACTTTTACTATAGAGTGTGTTCCAGAAAAGGTTTTCAATACAAGCTTCATGTTTTGTCATTGAAGTACCATTTGAAAAAGAGTTTTATCAAAGTACTACTATAAGATCTAAATACTAAGCACGTACTTTACGGCATAATAAAGTGCCACCTAAGATAATGCGAAAACTATAACTAAGGGTAGCATTCGGTTACCATCTAGAACATATTTTTTCGCGTTTGGTGAAGGCATTTCAAAAATAATATGGTTCGATTATTATAAAACAGGAAAAGAAAAGAGAAAAAAAATTTTTGACAGGTTTTCCAAAAATTCATGCATGATCCCATTGTAGATCAATTTAAAAAATTTTTTTTTAGTTCTTGACTCAATTTCGTTGATTTATTTTTTGTTCTTGTTTGAATCTTTATTCGTTCCTCCCCCTTTTAACACCTTTTTTATTCTATACCTTCTTTTTTGAATTTCTTTCTTCTTTTCTTTCGTTCGTTCTTTCCCTCTCACCTTTTTTTATTTCTCCCTATTTTTTTCACTTTTCCTTCTTATCTCTGTTTTTGAATTTCTTTTTCCTTCTTTTTTTTCGTCTTTTTTTCCCTTTTTTTCTATTCCTTTTATCTCGTTTTTTTTTTGAATTTCTTTTCTTTCTTTACTTACGAGCGAAATTAAGGAACTTTGCTAAAATTCTCAATTACCATTTGTTTTTTCCTCTCTAACCTTTTTTGATTTCTTTCTTATCGTTCTTTTTCCCTTTATTTCTCTCTCTCACCTTTTTCATTTTCTTTTATTTTGAATTACTTTCGTTTGTTCTTTCCCTCTCCTACCTTTTCGTTTTTTTCTTTTTCTCCTTTTTTCCTTTTCTCTCCTTTTTGAATTTCATTTTCTTCTATTTATCATTCGTTCTTACCCCTTCCCCTACCTTTTTATTTTCCGTTTCTCCTTTTTATGAATTTCTTTCTTCATTCGTACTTTTTCCTTCCACCTTTTTTTGTTTCACCCTCATTATTTTTTTCATTCTTTTTCCTTTTTGAATTCCTTTTTTTCTATTTCTTTTGTTCATTCTCCCTCTTCCTACCTTTTTCGTTTTTTATTATTCTTTTTATTAAGGAAAAAAAATTTTTTTAAATAATTAATGTTCACTGGGTTTGGAAAAATAAACATCTTTATATAAATCGTCCACATGTTTACAAATATTAGAATATAAATATTGTTTTCTTTCTTTTATTAACGGTGAAATAGGAATTATACCTATATCACAATTTTTATCAAAACTACTATCCCGTAGTAGAATAAAAAGAGTTTCTGATCCTTCAGATTCCTTTGAAGCATACATTTTACTGATATTACCAGGCAAACTACTAAAATGAAAATAATAGTATTTTTTTATATTGGGAAGAGGAATAAAATAGTTTTTAAAAAAACTTTCAAAATTATACCAAATCCATCCGTTTTTATAACAAATTGCTTTATTTCCTTTAGATGAGCAATTTACAACTCTTTCTAAATCATTAATTGTATTAATTCTTGTGTCTCTATATACTTTTTTAATATGTCCAAAGAATGAATCACAAATAAATTTCATATGGCCTGGAATCATAAAATTTATAATAATGTCTTCATACTATCCTAACATAACTAACCATATCCAAAACCATAAAGAAAGATTATTTTTATTTTGTCCTGAACAATTATCATAAGTAATTCTTAAATGTTTTTTTCCTATATGTGCAAATTTTTGAAGTGTACTATAAACCATATTTAAAGTAGTATTAGCCCCTTTAATTATGCCTTTAGGAAATTCATCTTCTGCAATTAAAAAATTCAATTGATAATTTTGACCACCTTCAGTTTTGCATACACTAAATAAATGAACAGAGAAAGTATTTTTAAAATAAATGATTCTTACTTGCTGTGAAAAATATGGAACTGATACATTTTGAGCCCAATCATAACAAATATGTGCTATTGACTTATTATTTTTACTTTCATTAATAGTTTTATTATAGTGCTCGCATTCAAGATTTGCTGCTTTAATATGTAATTTATATTGATTTTTAATTTTATTATATTCATCAATATCATGTTTTACAATTTTTAACTCTGCTTTTAAAATTTCACAAGTTTCACATAAATCACTTACTGATATTTGAAATTTTATTTGTGATGCTAATTCATGCCAAAGTTTTATAAAAACATTATAAGAAATTATTATTTGACTTTGATTATGTACAACATTTTTTGTATATTTTTCATAAATTGATACATATGTATTTTCAGTTGGTAAATAAATAAAAACACCTGAATCATTTTGATGACGTAGAGGGGAAGGTAAACCATGAATGTTACTATATTGAATTAAAAAATTTTTTACTGAAGATGAAATATCTAAATTAATATAAGCATGTGATAAAAGTATTAGAGCACGACCAGTATTTCCATATGTACGTTTCACTAAACCATTATCTTGTAAATGTTTTTGAAGTGTTGATAAATAATAATCAGTTTTTCTAATCAATTTTAAAAAAGTGGGTTTACAAAGGGGAAGTGAATTATTAAAATTGTATTTGTATGTTACTCTTGAGGGATTTTCAGTTTTTTTATTGGTTATCTCAAATGACATTAGTTGTGCTTTTAAAAAGATTTCAAACTGGGATTTTTCTAAAGAACGAATTTCAATATGTCTTTCAAAAAATTTTTTAAAACCAACTTTTTCATAACAAGTTTGTTTATCCTTTTTATTTTTTGAACCTTATCGATAGTTACAATCCTTTTTTTCAAAAAGTTCTATTAAATTTTGAATAATTTCAAAAACTAATTCATTTTCAGCATATTTATTTAATCCAAGACTAACTAAATCATATTGTTTTAAAATATTTTCCATTATTATGGATGATTGTATTGTATAAAGAAAAATTTTAGTTGGATAATTAATTGAATTGTTACAAGATATATTTTTTTTTTACCTAAAGTTTAAATCATTTAAATAAAAAAATTATTCAGTAATTTTCACTCATACCAATCAACATTGTATTGCTTAAATTCTAGAATTAACATTTATTCAGTAAATTAAAATTACATTGCATTCTCTCTCATGTCAATTAACATTGGTATTGTTTTAATTCTATAATTAATATTTATTTGGTAAATTAAAAAAAAATTTAAAATTTACATGCATTTCAATAACATTTCTCTTAATTTTCTCTCACGCTAATCAATTTTTGATTGTTTGAATTAATATTTATTTAGTAAATTAAAAAAGTTTATCATTTTGTGCATTCTTCTCACTTATGCCAATCAACATTTGATTGTTTGAATTAACATTTATTTGGTAAATTAAAAAAATTTTATCATTTTGTGCATTCTCAAATCAAGTTTCGAGCCTGCCAAAGAACTAAAAAAAAAGAAAAATGATTGTTAATCAACAACCAAGCGAAAGAATGAAACCAAGTAAAGAAAATGAAACAAACGAACTTACCACCTTGGATTCAGCCAAAAAGCCCAAAGATCTAAAAAAAAAAAAAGAAAATGGTTGCTAATCAGCAACCAAGTGAAATAATAAAAACGAAGTAAAGAAGAAAACGAAATGAACGAACTTACCGCCTTGGATCCAGCCAAAGAGTCCAAAGATCTAAAAAAAAAGAAAATGGTTGTTAATCAACAACCAAGCAAAAGAATAAAAATGAAGCAAAGAAATGAAACGAACGAACTTACCGCCTTGGATCCAGCTGAAGAGCCTAAAATCTAAAAAAAAAGAAATTGGTTGTTAATCACAACCAAGCAAAAGAATAAAAATGAAGCAAAGAAGAAAATGAAACGAACGAACTTACCACCTTAGATCTAGCCGAAGAGCCCAAAATTCTAAAAAAAAAAGAAAATGGTTGTTAATCAACAACCAAGTGAAAGAATAAAAATGAAAGAAGAAAACAAAATAAACTTACCGCCTTGGATCCAGCCGAAGAGCCCAAAGATCTAAAAAAAAAAAATGGTTAATTAACAACCAAACGAAAGAATAAAAATGAAAGAAGAAAACAAAATGAACTTACCGCTTTAGATCCAGCTGAAGAGCCCAAAATCTAAAAAAAAAAAAGAAATTGGTTGTTAATCACAACCAAGCAAAAGAATAA